CCAGTCTTGTAGATCCAGTCCTGCCTTACTAACACAACTGCCACCCATCCTCCCTCATTAACATCATAGAGGCAGGTTTACAACATACACGAAAATCACACAGTACCAGGAATCATGGCCTAGCCAAATTGATACACACATTTTTGGGGGGACATAATTCAAACCATGACAATGCTGGAAATGACAAATTAAAAAGCAATGGTGTCACATTCATTGTCCAAAAGAACATTTCCAGATCTATCCTGAAGTACAAACATTTCCAGATCTATCCTGAAGTACAATGCTGTCAGTGATAGGATAATATCCCTATGCCTACAAGAAAGACCAGTCAATATGACTATTCTTCAAATTTACACACCAACCACTAAGGCCAAAGATGAAAAAAATTTAAGATTTTTATCAGCAACTGCAGTCTGAAATTGATCAAACATGCATTCAAGATGCATTGATAATTACTGGTAATTGGAATACAGACGTTGGAAACGAAGAAGGATCAGTAGTTGGAAAATATGGCTTTAGTGACAGAAATGACACCGGAGATCACATGATGGAATTTTGCAAGACCAACGACTTCTTCATTGCAAATACCTTTTTTCAACAACATAAATGGCCACTAGACACTTGGACCTTGCCAGATGAAATACACAGGAATCAAATCAACTACATCTGTGGAAAGAGACAACGGAGAAGCTCAATGTCGTCAGTCAGGACAAGGCCAGGGGTTGACTGTGGAACAGATCATCAACTGCTTATATGCAAGTTCAAGCTGAAGCTGAAGAAAATTAAAACAAGTCCACAGAGCCAAAGAATGGCCTTTAGTATATCCCACCTAAATTTAGAGACCATCTCAAGAACAGATTTGACACACTGGATACTAATGACAGAAGACCAGACAAGTTGTGGGATGACATCAAGGACATCATACATGAAGAAAGCAAAAGGTCATTAAAAAGACAGGAAAGAAAGAAAAGACCAAAATGGATGTCAGAAGAGACTCTGAAACTTGCTCCTGAATGTAGAGTAGCTAAAGTGAATGGAAGAAATGATGAAGTAAAAGAGCTGAACAGAAGACTTCAAAGGGCAGCTCAAGAAGACAAAGTATTATAATGACATGTGCAAAGACCTGGAGTTAGAAAACCAAAAGAGAAGAACATGCTTGGCATTTCTCATTCTGAAAGAACTGAAGAGAAAGTTCATGTCTCGAGCTGCAATATTGAAGGGTTCTACAAGGAAAATATTGAACAACACAGGAAGCATCAAAAGAAGATGGAAGGAATACACAGAGTCACTGTATCAAAAAGAATTGGTCAATGTTCAACCATTTTAGGAGGAAGCATATGATCAAGAACCAATGGTACTGACAGAAGAAGTCCAAGCCGCACTGAAGGCACTGGTGAAAAACAAGGCTCCAGGAATTGATGGAATACGAATTGAGATGTTTCAACAAACAGATGCACCGCTGAAGACCCTCACTCATCTATGCCAAAAAATTTGGAAAACAACTACCTGGACAACCAACTGGAAAAGATCCATATTTGTACCCATTCCAAAATAAGGTGATCCAACCGAATGTGGAAATTATTGAACAATATCATTAATATCACACACATGTAAAATTTTGTTGTAGATCATTCAAAAGAGGTTGCAGCAGTACTTCAGCAGGGAACTGCCAGAAATTTAAGCTGGATTCAGAAGAGGACGTGGAACCAGGGATATCATTGCTGATGTCAGATGAATCTTGGCTGAAAGCAGACAATACCAGAAAGATGTTTACCTGTGTTTTACTAACTCTGCAAGGCATTTGACTGTGTAGATCATAAAAAATTATGGATAACATTGTGAACAATGGGAATTCCAAAACACTTAATTGTGCTTATGAAGAACCTGTACATAGACCAAGAGGTAGTTGTTCAAACAGAACAAGGGGATACTGCATAGTTTAAAGTCAAGAAAGATGTGCGTCAGGGTTGTATTCTTTCACCATGTTTATTCAATCTGTATGCTGAGCAAATAATCCGAGAAGCTAGACTATATGAAGAACGTAGCATCAGGATTGGAGGGAGACTCATTAACCATCTGTGATATGCAGATGACACAACATTACTTGTTGAAAGTGAAGAGAACTTGAAGCACTTACTGATAAAGATAAAAGACTACAGCCTTCAGTATGGATTACACCTCAACATAAAACAAAAATCCTTACAACTGGACCAATAAGCAACATCATGACGAATGGAGAAAATATTGAAGTTGTCAAGGATGTCATCTTACTTGGATCCACAGTCAACACCCATGGAAGCAGCAGTCAAGAAATCCAACGACATATTGCTTTGGGTGTATCTGCTGCAAAAGACCTATTTACGGTGTTCAAAAGCGAAGATGTCACCTTGAGGACTAAGGTGTGCCTGACCCAAGCCATAGTATTTTCAGTCACCTCATATGCATGTGAAAGCTGGACAATGAATAAGAAAGAACAAAGAAGAACTGATGCATTTGAATTATGGTGTTGCTGAAGAATATTGGATATATCCTGGACTGCCAGAAGAACAAACAAATCTGTCTTGGAAGAAATACAGCCAGAATGCTCATTAGAAGCAAGGATGGTGAGACTTCCTATCACATACTTTGGACATGTTATCAGGAGGGACCAGTCCCTGGAGAAGGACATCATTCTTGGTACCAAGTCAGCGAAAAGAGAAGACCCTCAACCACGTGGACTGACAAAGCGGCTCCAACAATGGGCTCAAGCATAACAATGATGTTTCCTTCTCTTGTACGTGGGGTCCCTCTGAGTCGAGACTACAGGGCACCTAACAACAACAAATACACAGATAGACGCCTATCTCCTACTACAGCTTCATGAAAGCTGCAGTAAGAGATACGCTTTTTTTAGGGGTACAAAATCAGCCTCGTAGGATCTAAAATAAATCCTGGACAGAAAAAGAAAAAAAAAAACCAACTTTTCTTCTAACTATTGTGAGATCAACAACTGATCTGGAACTGACCAGAGGTGGGCTTGCTCTCAGCAGGGATACTTTTCTTCTTCCCATTCTAATTATTTAATATATTTAATGGTAATAAGCCTAGATGCAGCTTTACATATACCCACACATAGCCAGAGAACTAAGTCCAGAATAGTACCGGGCACAGCTCCTGGCCTGGTTTGGATCAGGCCGACATGGTGTTGCTCGGTCGGTAGGTGGGTGGAAGCGGCCCAATGGACTCCACGCAGTTGCCTCACGGCCCCTGGGCCACCTGTCGCACGGGACCTCCAGGCCCGGCGGCCTGGTAAGCTTAGGCCGCGCGGGGGCATTGGGGACCCTGGGGCCGTGACCCCGCCCGCGGGGGCGTCCGGAGCCCCGGAGAGGCCACACCCGCGATGGCCGACCCGCCCCGTGAAGGGCCCGGCGGGGCGCAGGGGCAGGCCCAGAAGTGCGGACCTTTCCCCAGATGGCGGCGGCCGACCCGCGGGATGACGGCCGAGAGGCCCTGGTGGGCCCGGTGGAACGCGGGGTCGCCGAGGGCGCCCCTGCAGCATTGTAGTTGCCGGGAGACCCGGCCTCTCTGGCTGCCCGCGGAGTCGCGGCGCCAGCCGAGGCTGACTTCGCTGGGCCCGGCCTGGGCCCCGGGCTCGACTCCCGCCGGCCCGCCTTCGCCCAGGCCCAACACCGCCGCCGAGGGGCCCGTGCGCCCGGCCGGTCGGCGCCCGCTGCCCCCCTTCTCCTCCCGCTGTAGGAAAGCCGAGTCGGAGGCTGCGCCCCTCAAGCCGCTCGCCCAGCTCGCCGAAGGACCCGGGCCTCGGGGCGGCATCGCCCTCGGAGAGGACGCCGGGGAGGACACGTGGGCGTGCGGCGCCGCGGGGTAAGAGGCCAGAACCAGGGGCGCCCTCGCGCGTCCGCCCCGCGAGCCCCCAGGCGCGGCCTTGGCGCCTCTCACTCACGTCTTCCCGGCCCTCCTTCCCGCTCTCCCGCCCCATTTAACGCCTTTCCCGTACTCCCATTCACAATGGCGTCCTTGTCTCTGGGCCCCTCGTCCACGTGCGGTGGCTTTTCCCAGCGTGCCAGTGTCCCTGAGCAAAGCCACCTGCTCAGCAACCTCCTTCCTTCTTCATTCTTCCATCTCAGAGCATGGCATACAGAAGGTCCATCAATACTTGTTGATTCAAAATTACCTGGACTATATATCCTGTTTCTCCAGGGCACACCTTTCCCCCCCGGAGAAAATAAATTGTAAATGATTAGCATATACACTGATTACTGCAATGGCTTTAATTTGAGATTCTTCCCAGATAAACAAAAAGTTGCCATGGAGGCGATTCTGACTCATGGCAACGCCTTGTCTTAATCGCTAATATTTTTCCCTTAAACAGTAGTAAACGTTTTAGACAACGATGACAGTTTGATGTGGAAAACATTGTTTGGTCTGGTGGGCCTTTTGTGTCTCTGAAATAGCCACGCATGGGGCACTTTCTCTCCGTCTGTGTAAGGTTAACCCGGCTTTCAAATGAAGCACGTGTTTTGAATGATTAAAAGTAGAGCTCATGGCCCCATTTTATACACTGCAGTTAATTCATCATATTTTTTTACAATTTATATTTCCTCCTCCCCTCACATAACATCTCCTTTCTCACCTCTGGCCCTAATTTCCTAATCTTTGGTTGGGGACATCTTCCAGTTTGCTTTTGTCTCTGTCCTAATTTTGTCTGGCCTGCCCCTTGTTTCTGGTTGATTTCAGATTGTCCCCCGCCCTGCCCTCATATTCCCTCTTCTGCCTTCTGAGCATTTTCTTAACCTCTCTTTAGATGAGAATCCAAAGCTCGTGCTTCCTTTTATATAAATGTTGTACCTTACCCATAAATGTGCCTGTCCTGCAACCTGTGTAGGATTTTAAGGAAACAGAGGAGCAGCTACAACAAAATGGGGAGAAGAAATGGTGGCAACTGTGGCACCAGTCTGCGTATGTCAAACATCTCTCATGAGGTAAAGGCAGATGATACTGAATTTGAATATTGTGGCGGTAGCAGCCAGCGCTAAGACCTAACTCCCATTGAATCTTACTGCTGCCATGCCTTGCTGTTTTGTCTTTGTGAGCAGTTTGTGCTCAGTTTTCCTTTTGGCACGTTTAGAATATCAAACAGAAATTTTTCTCTTTTAACAAAGGAAACGTTAACGTCTCTCCAAATTTGAAAACATTTCTAATTACAGTTGGATTTCATTCAAGATGCTACTTTGATTAATCAAGCAGTGCTCACTTTCCACGTACTTTATAAAAAATATTGGTAAGGCAGGAGGGATAAAAAGTATAACCAAGTCCCAAACCTAAAGCAGTTTGAAATCTCCCTCACTAGCCTTCTGACCAACTGACAGATTTAATAATTCTAATTTTGTGGTGTGGCCACAACAGCATAGTTGTCATCCACTCCCATCATGTGTTCTTTTGTCTATTAGTGTACCAGTGTTACATAGCGGAAAGGAGGTTAAGAATCCGTGGGGGAGGTGTTTAAAATAAAACCGGGCCTCACCCTCATCCTGGTGAACAAGAATCTGTAGGATTTTTTTTTCGACTAGCATTTTTAAAGTACCGGGGCCCTGGTCGCACAGTGGTTAAGCACTGGGCTGCTAACCAAAATGTCGGCAGTTTGAATCCACCAGCTGCTCCTTGAAAACCCTATGGGGCAGTTGTGCTCTGTCCTGTAGGGTCGCTATGAGTCGGAATCAACTCAACAGCAACTAGGTGATTCTTATGTAGAGGCTAGACTTCATACATATTATCACAGAGAGCAGAGAATTAATTTTATTTTTCAAAAACCTCCAGAGAAAGATAATCTGCAATCTCCCCTACTATTCCCTTCCAGTATTCAACTATCCTTCCTATCAAGAGATACTTCCTTGTGGATAAATTAAATCCTCATGCTGTATTTAAGCTTATTGCCCTCTCCTCCTCCTTACTGTGGAGATGACACCGAACATTTCATTTGTATACTACTTTAGAGTTTAATTTACAAAAGGTTTTTTTCATTTGAAATAGACAGTAGCTGAGTTCATTCCTAAAAAAATTACTTTTTTAAATAATCACCTCTTCACTTTCCCTTTTCCAGAATAAATTATTACAATCATCCCCTATATACACCCCACACTTCTTTTTTTTCCTGTAGCACTGTGTACAATGTCAGGAATATAAACAGTCAGTAGATGTTAGTATCTTTTTCTTTCTGTTCACCTTCAGTGGCTTGCAGATCTGGTACTCGGTTATAGAAAATTTGGTGAATGTGCCACTGTGTACCAGAAACACACTGCGCAGGACATTTTTTAAAATTTATTTCAAAAACCTGTGTGCTGTTATTTTTAACAAAACGAGAATGAAACCATAAATTATTGTAAAAGCCTTTCCATTTCCTGACTAGTAGGTGTTATCAAACTGAGAGTAGTTTGGCAAGAGAACATTGCATGCTCCTCAGAGGGGCTGATAGTCACCGGAGGAGAGGGCAGTGAGGAGAGCTTTGTTCCTTTTGCGGTCTTTACCCAAAGGACATGTGAAATTATGTACTTGAGCTTCTTCAGTTTTCTTAACATTAAGCTTATTCTGAAACAAATATTGTTTTAGAACTTACCTCACTGGAGTTTGGATTCAGAAGTACCTGTTCCTGAAAATAAAAACCTCCCACCTGGAAGGGACAGTGCATCAGGTGGTAAGAAATCCTAGATGTGTATATTTATAATGGAATAATCACTCATATTAAAGGGGGTTTGTTTTGGATATAACCAGTCTTATGTGACTATTAATTGTCATTTTTTTCATAGACATTCTTTCAGGCAAAATTAACAAGGTAAGGATAAATGTTTGGTTTTAAATAATTCACAAAACAATGTTTTGAAATTATATGTACTTTTCAAAAAATTCTCTTCCTGTAGGTTAAATTATAAATTTTATTTCTTTAGAGTTGTTCAAACAAGTTAGAGCCTTTACTACTTTATAGGACTGCAAATTGGTCATTAAATTAATATTTTTTATTGTTTTTTTTTCATATAACAATACTATAGCTGGAAATTAACATTATAGTGAATGTAGTATCTTCTAGTCATTGCCAAAAGGAAAGTAGTCTTAGTCCTTAAGATGTCTTAAAGCAGTTGAAATGGTCAATATCTTGTTATGAAGTAGTAAGAAAATTAATATTTTAATTTGCTCTTTTGATCAAAATATAAAATACTTAACTGTTAGTAAAATGAAGACAGTGATATTTCAGGTATATTAGTTAATGGTGTTTAGTAGTTTCTATAACTTTTGTGTTAATTCCTACTGAAATCAGTGACAAGAAATAATTTCTGTATGTATAAAAGCAAGTATCATAGGACTTTACTACATAATCCTTGGTTAGAACAAGAACTTAGAACAGGATTAGGAACAGAGATATATTGTGTTTAAAAATCTTCTGCTGCTTTATAGAATCATTTGGAAATTCCAATAGATGAGCTGATGCTAGAACTTAATTTGTCAGAGCATGCTCACAAAAGAACACAGGTGGGATTTTATTCATTATACTCTTAAAGTATTCTTTTTAAAAAATTCCTGAAGTTAGTGAAATAATGACCATGATTTTTATATTATCAGAATAGTAAACAAGGCATATTTCACTTATGGAGTTATCCTCTTAATGAAGGAAATACTGTGGAGAGCAGGTAAGAGAATATTTGTTTTTGTAAAACCCAAATTAGTGAGATAAATTTAGATACAGATGAGCTAACTATTTGAAATACAAGGACAAAAACTAACTAGAAAAGTACTGTGTGTGAATAGTAGGAAATTATGGAAACTCCCCCTAAATTTAAAAAATGGTAGGCAGACACCACAGACATAATCAGAACATGGGTAATTAAGAGTTCACTGTGCCCTTACAATGAGGTTTAGGTAAGAGTTTGGACTTTGTATTGAAAAGAAACTAGAAGAGGAACATTCCATGTTCTAGGAACTATTTTAATTCCTTGTATGTATTAACTCATTTAACACTGACAGCAGTCCTAAAAGGTAGGTACTAATATTATCATCCCTGTTTTACAGATGAGGATGCTGAGGTACAGTTACAAGTTCAGTAACTTACCCAAAGTCACACAATTAATGAATGGTAAAGCCAGTATATAAAAAGTAGCTTAGTCCAGAGTCTGTGCTCATCATCACTCTAGTGTATCGCTTCTTAGACTTTGCCTGGGTTTGAATTTTTCTTTCTTTAGTTCTTAAACTTTAGTGTGTATTAGATCCTCCTAGGTGCTTCCTTAAAATGCAAGTTATTATTATTTGGAGGAGAATGAACATTTGTTGAGCACCTGCTAAGTGTTGCTCTTATACACAGTGTGTTATTGAATGGAGATCCTGAGTTCTCTTTCTCTCTTTTTTATCCATTTTTGACAATAGGGTGGTTCACTTGATAGCAGCGATCTCCTCATCAGAGGATTTTACCACTGTGAGGCCAGGGTAAAGCTCACCTTAAAGTTAAAATTCAGGAGTGATCAAGGGAATTGTAGTGACTAATATTCTAAGGGAATGTTGGTACCAGTAGGGATAGAAAAGGCTATTTTTAAAAGAAAACTCATCTTGGAACAAGGATTTTCAAGGTAAGCAGTCAAATGAAGTGAGATGTTTCCAGAGAAGAATTTTATCATAGTAAGAGTGGATCAAATATATGGTAATTGAGGCAGGAGAGTGCAGAGGCTAAAATTATGGGCATGGTATCCCACCACCTGGGTTCAAATCCCAGCTCCACCACTCACTAGATGTGTGACCTTGGGAAAGGTGCCTCAGTTTTGTTATCTGTAAAAGGTGGAAAATAAAAGTGCCTGCCTCAAGGGATTGTTGTGAGGTTTAAACAATAATGTGCTCGATAGGTACTTGCTATTATATTGGGAAGGGCTAATAATGTTGCAGAGTTGGAAACTTGGTATCAGTGAAACATTTTATTACTGAGATTTTTCTCAGTATACTTTCAACAGGTAAACAGAATAAAAGTAATGGTAACTTTTGTTTAGTGTTTAACATTTTGCAAAATTAGTAAATTCATATCAATTATCTTACACATCTACTCTGAAGCAGGTGTTGTGTATCATGTCCATTTTGACCACTCACTGGTGGTGAAGGGGTTCAGCTGTAGGTCTTCTGACTCCAGACTCTATGCTCTTTTTACTACACTAGATTGACTTGTGTCAGTTAATAATTGTAGATTGAAAGTGATTTTCATTTGTTTTTGCAAAGGCAAGGCAGAATACCTAGTTTATTTAGTTAAATGAATGAATTTCTATCATTTCAATAAAAATGAAAGTATTTTTCAAAATCTTGAAATCTTTACTGTAAACTGGCCTTAAAAGCAGCAAGAAGATATTGAAACTCTGTGTCAATTTATGCATCAAATCATCTTCCAACATTGGTCTTTCTAGTAAACTTAAAAAAAAAAAAGACTGAAAGAAGAAAAACTAACTAGAAACTCAATATTTTGTGGCCAGACATTTTTGCAATTTTCATTTTAATACAGTTCCTAGAAGTATTATTACTCCTGAAGTAGAAGAGTGCTCTCAGATGGTAATTACTATGGATTCTTCCTAGGATCATTTTTGTTTGATAGATTGTTTGCTTCCTTTTTGTTAAAATATTTTTTAAAAGCCACAATGGCTAAAGTAGAAGCCTTTTTAAAGTAACTTAACTACATTCTTTGTTTCCTTATCTGATTCTGGGTCAATAAACATTTCACTATAATTTCAGTTTGAGTTGGATAGCCTCCTTTTTAGATATCATAATTGCATTTATAATATATTCATAGGCAAATAGATATAATTAGCCACTTTAACCTAGTGGCTCTTCATAGCCAGTTAGCCATGTTTAGGTATAATGATCTACCGGTACTCACCTGTGCTTGCACAATGGTATGCCTGCTTACTGTTTTAGTCTATACTTGTATATAGATTTGAAATCAACATATTTCTGTTATAGACAGTTATACACCATTGGAACTAAACATTTACCAATCTTTAATAAAGGTAACATATTTGTATCATTTCAGTAGCATTTGAATTCTGTTATTCATGAATTAAATTATTTTTTTAAAGGGATTTCCAAATATCTTCAGTAGAAACTGGCTTTAATGTGACCAGTAATCCCATAAGGCTCTTCACTCTGAACCACTCCCTAACAAGTGCTGCAGTTGATAAACAAGTTGGACTGCAACAGCAGATGCCATTAGGTCTTTGCTGGCCCTATGCAGATGGAGACTTTTTTAAGGACAGAAATGAACCTTGTATTAATTTATGTTCAGCTGTAGAAAGCAGCAGTAGTGAAACTTTATCTGCTCTGAATTGGAATTTTAAATATGGAAACAGCAGTGTGGAAGAAAATTTAACAGATGAAAGTGATTTATCAGAAAGTGAAAAAGCAAATGATACTATACTCAGCTATTTTAAAAAGATGGACCTGAACTTAAAGCCAGAAACAATAGAAAACTTTGAAGAATCTTTCACAGAGGAACCAAATGAAGTCTTTCCATATCCTGATTTTCTCCCTCCACCTTTCAATACTCTGGACTTGCACAAATTAGCCCTCTCAAAATCTGAAAATTGGAAAGCAACAATGGAACCACCAGAAAGCTCTATTGAACTCTTGATAACTCGTTTACTGGAAATGGAAAGAATACAACATATGACAATACAGAAAGAGAGGACAAGACTGCAAACTAACTTGTATACTCCAGCAGTTACTGAACGACCATCTTCCTCCAAAACTATACCCAGAGTGAGACAGCCAAAACTTTCTGATTCTTTGAGTCTTCAGACATCTTGTGTAGATAAAAGTCGAGAAAAAAGAAAAAACAATTCTGGTTCTTGCAAGCTTGAACAGAATGCTTCAAAATGGAATTGGAGCAATCCTGGAAAATATAGATGGAATTCTAGACCAACATCTCTAAAAAGTTCATCCACCACAAAACAATTGATTGCAACTTATGATGACCTTAAGAATCCAAAAAACTCCATTTTAAATCCGTGCCAAGAACTTTCAACCAAGCCTAGTACTGTCCAAACAACTCAATCACTGGTTAAGATGGTCTCAACAAGATGTCTGCCAGCAAGGTCTCCAATACCAATTTCACCTGTACCTCTGTCTTTTCCTGAAAATCAGAGAGAAGAAGTGAAGCCACCAAGGACCAAAAAGAAACTTTACCAAAAAAATATAGTACTGAATAGACCATTCTATATTCAGAAGCTAGACTGTTTATCACCTTCATTTATAGCTAAGGATAAGTGCTCACCCATTGACCAAAAATAACCCTTTTTTCCCCATACATCTCAATGTGAGCAAACCTGTTCCAAGAAGCCTAGCTAAAATATGGTTTATCATTCCAAGAAACAGGTGTTTAAAAACATACACACAAACAAATTGCTTGATGTGATATGGAGTGGAACTTGTGAAAATTGCTGGATGTCTATATATAAATCTAACGGCTTCTATAAACGACGTATTTGACAATCTTTTGCATGTTTTGTTTCAAAGAAATGTTTCATTTGGTAAACTAAATCATTCTATTCAAAAGATTGTTCTTTTGTTATGAATGTTTTGCAGTATAATTCCATCATCAATAAATGTATAATCGACTAACTGCTGCTATACTTGTTCTTTCATTGTGTTCTGCTATACTTGAGTTGCAGTAACCTCTATCAATGATATTTAGTCCTTGCCACTCTGGGACCTTTCTCTCCCTTTCCATCTTCACAAATCTCCTTTATCTATCAAGGATAGATTTTTTTATTGCACTTTAGGTGGAGGTTTACAGAACAAATAGTTTCTCATTAAACAGAACACGTACTGTTCTATGACATTGATTAACAACCCCATGATATGTCAACACTCTCCCTTCTCTACCTTGGAGGACTTTTTTTTTGTGGGGGGGGGAGTATACATAGCCAAATTTATACCATTTCAAAAATTTCTACATGTACAGTTCAGTGACATCGATTATGTTCTAGTTGTGCTGCTATTCGCACTGTCCTTTTCCAAATTATTTTATCACCATTGTCTTCAACTCACTGTCCCCTAGGCTTCCCATCAAACCTTTTGAGTTGCTGTTGTCAATTTGATCTCACATAGATAATTTTTTTTTTTTTTGCACTTTAGGTGAAGGTTTACAGAACAAAATAGTTTTTCATTAAACAGCACACATATTGCCCTATGACAATGGTTAACAACCCCACAACATGTCAACACTGCCCTTTCTCAACCTTGGGTTCCCTATCACCAGCTTTTCTGTCCACTCCTGCCTTGTAGTCCTTGTCCCTGGACTGCTGTGCCTCAGTAGTCCCGTTTTGTTTTATGAGGCTGTCCAATCCCTGGCTGAATGGTGAACCTCGGGAGTGACTTCACACTGAGCTAAAAAGGGTGTCCGGGGGCCATACTCAGGGTTTTTCCAGTCCCTGTCAGGCCAGTAAATCTGATCTTTCTTTGTGTGTTAGAATTTTGCTCTCTAGCCTTCTCCATCTCTGTCCAGGACCCTCAGTTGTGATCCCGGTTAGAGCAGTTGGTGGTAGCCGGGCACCATTTACCTGTACTGGACTCAGTCTGGTGGAGGCCGTGGTAGCTGTGGTCCATTAGTCCTTTGGACTAATCTTTTCCTTGTATCCTGTTTTCTTCATTCATTCTCCCTTGCTCCCAAAGGGGTGAGACCAGTGGAGTATCTTAGATGACTGCTCACAGGCATTTGAGACCCCAGACACTACTCACCAAGGTACAATGTAGAACATTGTCTTTATAAACTGGGTTATGCCAATTGAGCCAGATGTTCCCCGAGACCATGGTCCCCACAGCCTCAAGGATAGATTTTGACCAGTCCTTCAGGCATTTGCTTGGCCTTCTAAAGGTAAAGAAATTGCTATTAATATATGAGTTCCTCTAGATCCTCCTATAAATCCTTTGAGACTTTCCATTTCCCAGGCTCTCCTTTGTCAAACACAAAAATAGCATCAGTTCTCTTGTGGCCAAGGTACAGGTTTAATGTTTGAAACACCCCTCTTCTGCTCAGACCTAATGGTTTTAAAATATTAAAGGAAAAATGGGGAAAAGGTCACTGTCCACACATCAGCCAAACTCTGGTGTTACTGGATTTTTTTCCCCCAAAAGACGGCTCTATGTTGCTAGAAGTCTTAATTATTTGAAACTCAAACAGTTACAGCTTAATTTATGAACCAGAGAAAAAGGGAATCTGTACATGATTGACAAACTTCATTGCACCTAAGAATCAGGAAAACAACCTGGGATTCTATACCAGACCTATTGAAGCAATCTTTGGGAGTAGGACCCAGAGACCTACATTATAAACAAACACCCCAGGTGGTTTCCATGCAGGTGGTTCTTGGATCACACTTTGAAAAACACTGTAAATGAAAAACTTGATGTCACGTGCATAGATCAGAGGTTTGGATATTTTTGGGTGTAGTCTGCTTTGGTTTTAGTGAATGGTTGGTGAATTCAGGTTAGTTTTTCTTAAACATTAAAAAATAATCATGGTTAAAACTTTAAACATTACCCAAAGGTCCAAAATGAAAAGTAAAAGCCTTCTTCCTACTGCACCTCCCCACCCCCCGCACACAAAGGCAACCACTATTAACAGTTTTTGTGTCTCATCCCCAAAAATGAGATGGCGTATTTGAGTTAGGGATGGGTGAGATGAATTAAAGTTAATTCAAATAAATGTTGAAGAGAGCAACTGTAGCTCAAGCTGCTTTTCTACCTTTAGTAAAACAATAAGGCTCAAACCATTTTCTCAGAGGCAGAGGTCAGAGTTTGCTTAGCTTTTAGTTAATTTCAAAGAATATTCTGAAACCATATCACCACATTTTGTAAGGCTTAGTTTATAAAAAATAAACTGGCCAAGAGCCCTTATTATAATGGAATTTTATCTGTATCCTGTACAATTAGTCTTGTTATCCAAAATGATGTAACAGCTCTTTCAAAGAATTATAGCGCAAAATGGACTTATATTTTCACTCAATTCCTAACTTGGAGTGATCTTGTTTCATTTGTCAACTATCTTTACTCTCATCTTTGCAATTCCCTGTAACTTGAGTCCTGAACCTTTTCTTTTTAAATAAACTTTATTATGTAGAGCAGTTTTAGGTGTACAGAAAAATGGAGCAGAAAGTACAGTGCGCTCATATACCCCACCCCCCAGCAAACCACACACACTCCTATTAACATCTTACATTAGTCTGGTGCATTGTTATAATTTATGAACTAATATTGATACATTATTATTATTATTATTAACTACAATCCATAGTTTACATTAGGGTTCACTGTTTATTTTGTACAGTTTTATGGGTTTTGACAAATGCATAATATCACATATTCACCATTACAGTATAATGCAGAATAGTTCACTGCCCTGAAAAGGCAACAACTGATCTTTTTATTGTCTCTGTAGTTCTGCCTTTTCCAGATGTCAAATAATTGGAATTATACAGTATGTAGCTTTTTCAAACTGGTTTCTTTCACTCAGCAATATGCATTTGAGGTTCCTCCATGTCTTTTTGTAGCTTGATAGCTCATGTCTTCTTATCACTGAATAACACTGCTTTATCTAGATGTACCACAATTTGCTCATCCATTAACCTATTGAAGGACAACTTGGTTTCTTCCAATTTTTGACAATTATGAATAAAGCTGCAATAAACATTCATGTGCAGGTATTTCTGTGAACGTGTGCTTTTCAGTTCACTTGGGTAAATACCTAGAAGCACTATTGCTGTATTGCATAATAAGCCTATGTTTAGCTTTGTAAAAAACTGGTAAGTTATCTTTCAAAGTAGCTGTACTATTTTGCTTTCCCATCAGCAATGAATTAGAGCTCCTATTGCTCCACATGCTTCCCAGCATTTTGTGTTGTTAGTGTTTGGTATTTTAGCCATTTAAAAGCTGTGTAGGGTTATCTCGTTCTGATTTGCAATTCCCTAATAAGATACAATGTTGAGCATCTTTTCATATTATTTGCCATCTGTACATCTTCTTTGTTGAACTGTGCAGATCTTTGCCATTTTTTAAATTGGGTTGTTCAGTTTCCTATTGTTGAGTTTTAAGAGTTTTTTGTATATCTTGAATACAAGTCCTTTATCAGACATATGTTTTGCAAATATTTTCTCTGTGGTTTGTCTTTTCATTCTCTTGAAGTTAATTTTGCAGAGGAGAGATTTTTAGTTTTAATGAAATCTAACTTACTAATTTTTCTTTTATGGATTGTGCTTTTGGTGAAAACTCATTGCCAAACCCAAAGTCATCTAGATTTTCTCCTATGTTATTTTCTAGAACTTTTATAATTTTGCACCTAACATTTAGGTTGGTCATCAATTTTGTGAAAGGTGGAAGATGTGTGTTTAGATTATTATTTGTTTGTTTTCTTTGGCATGTGGATGTCTAGTTATTCCAGCAACATTAGTTGAAAAGACTATCCTTTCTTCATTGGATTGCCTTTGCTTCTTTGTCAAAGACCAGTGAACTATATCTGTGTGGGTGTATTTCTGGGTTTTCTATTCTGTTCCACTGATCTATTTGTCTGTTCTTTGGTTAATCCCACACTGTCTTGATCACTGTAGCTTTAGAGTGAGTTTTGAAGTCAGGTAGTGCCAGTCCTCTAACTTGTTCTTTTCCAGTGTCATGTTAGCTGTTTCGGATATTTGGCCTTTCTGTATGAACTTTAGGATTGATCACTTTGCCAGTGTCCACATGGCAACTTGATGGGATTTTGATTAGGGTTGTATTTGATGATATTAAGTCTTCCTATCCATGAACATGGAATAGCTCTCCATTTATTTAAATCTCTGATTTCTTTTATTAGAGTTTTGTAGCTTTCCTCATATTTTATACATTATTTTGTTAGATTTATAGATTTCTTCTTCTTCTCCTTTTTTTTTTTTTTTTTCTGGTGCTAATGTAAATGGTGCTGTGTTTTAAATTTCAAACTCCAGTTGTTCATTTCTGGTATATAGGAAAGCATCTGACCTTTGCATACTAACCTTGTATTCTGCAACCTTACTATAATTGTTTATTAGTTCCAGGAGATTTTTGCTGATTTTTGAGGACTTCTACGTAGATAATCATACAGTCTGTGAACAAAGGCAGTTTTATTTCTTCCAATCTGTATACCTTTTATTCAATTTTCTTGTCTTATTGCATTAGTTAGGCTTCCAGTACGATGTTGAATAGGAGTGGTGAATAGGGACATCCTTATCTTCTTAATCTTAGGGCGAAAGCATCTAGTTTTTCATCTTTAAGCATGACGT